AGCTAGTATGACTGAGAAACGGAATTAATTCTCTTTCAGTAATTAAAAATATAGTCACATACTGCTAGTGGCTACTGTATTGAACAGCACAGCTCTCCAGTCTCCACCACCCAACAAACTGCTCTTGTGATTTACCTCCTAATTTCCAAAGCCAGTCAATATGTTTTGGTTGTCGGCTTCTTTGTTCTTTCTCTGGAATTTGATTGACTGTCTCTTTACTTTATACACTCTTTGGAATCTGTGCCTTCACTGTCTCCTGATTCTTAAGTTTTCTGTTGTCTTTTCTGTGGATGGTATCGATGGTTTTAGATGTCTGCACTTAGCTCTCTTCGGCTCTTACATTCTCTTAAAGTACACTTTAGCTATTCATTCAACATTTACTGAGTATAAGTTTTTTGGTGCTAGAAAAAAAACTTACTCTCTCTTTCAAGAAACTCCCCTGGCCTCAGCTAGCATTACTGCTAAAGATGATAAAATTGATCCTACCCTCACTTTCGTTTGTTTCTTCAGAAGTTCAGACTCATGTACTTAACTTCCTATTGATGGTTACTTCTGGCTGTCTCATGAGTGGCTCACATGACTACTTACTACTTATCTCCACTCCCAGTACCTTCCCCCTTGAAATATATAAACGTAAAAAACCTTCTACCTATCACTCTTCACATTATCATAGATCTGCTTCTTAATTACAGTATCCTCCCTTATCATTGTGGGATACGTTTCAAGATCCTCAGTGGATACCTGAAACTCAGATAGTAGTGAACCCTGCATATACTATGTTTTACCAATCCGGTAACTGAGAGGGCTTAAGTGACTACTAACAGGTGGGTAGTCTATGAAGATTGACTTTGGGATAAAGGGAGGATTTATGTCCAGGGAAGGACAAAGCAGGATGGCACAAGATCTCTTCACCCTACTCAGAACAGCATGCAGTTTAAAACTTAAGAGTTGTTTGTTTCTGGAGTTTTCCATTTAGTGTTTTTGGAGTGCAGTTTACAGCAGGTAACTGAAACCTCGGATAAAGTGGGGACTACTGTACTTGAAAAGCCTCTAATGTCATCTTTCTTTCACATAACTTGTCACATTTATTGTCCTGGTTCTCAGGAGCAGGAACCCAAAGCATCGATTAGTGATCATTTTTTTTTTCCCCTGATACATCCAGAGGATCCAATTTCCACTTGCAGTTCTTTCCCTCTTAATTTATTGGTTGATATCTCAGCTCCCTGAAAGAGCTGTTCATGATCTCCTTTCAGGGCGAACACCCTATACCCTAGCTGTGCTAAGCCAATAGCATTTCTCCCAAACGTTGTTTCCTTTTCCTTTTCTTTATTTTCCTAGAGAGAACTTATCAGCTCTAACACCGTTTTCTACGACTGCTTTCTATAGGCAAAGTCACAAGAATTGTTTCTCTTTCCATTATCATCACTATAGCGGACATAGATTAAATGCTTCCTATGTGACAGGCACTATTCTGAGTGTTCCGTATTATCTTACTTAATTCTTAAACAGCACAGTCAGATATAGGTATTGAAACTGAGGCACAAAAGTTAAGAAACCTTTTTTCTTTTTTTCACTTTTATATGATTATTTTTGAAAAAAAAATTGAATAGATTTTATTTTTTGGAGCTGTTTTAGAATACCTACAAGAGCATTGAGAGTTCTTACATACCCCTTCTCCCTACACAGTTTCCCCTATTATTAACATGTTATATTACAGGGATATACTTATGATTGATGAACAAATACTGATATATTAATATTAACTAAAGTCCATACTTTACATTAGGATTCACTCTTTGTCTCCTATGGTTCTGTGAATTTTGACAAACGCATAATGTATTATTCAGTATCATACCATATAGTACCATACAGCATAATTTCCTCTTTCTAAAAAATGTCCTGTGTTCCACCTATTTGTCCCTTCCCCTTCCCCCAGCAACTGCTGATCTTTTTAATGTCTATGTGTGTGTTTTTTTTTTAAACCAGAATGCCATATAATTGGAATCATAGTGTATAAGCCATTTATTTTCAGACTGGCTTCTTTCACTTAAGATTCCTTCATGTTGTTTTGTGGCTTGATAGCTCATTTCTTTTTATGAAATATATTCCTTTGTATACCGCAGTTTGTTGATTTATTCAGTAAAGAACATCTTGGATGCTTCCAATTTTGGGCAGTTATGAATAATGTTCACATAAAGATTTGTATGCAGGTTTTTGTGTGGACATAAGTTTTCAACTTATTTGGATAAATACCTAGCAGTGGGATTGCTGGATTGTATGGTAAGACTATGTTTTGCTTTGTAAGAAATTGCTGGACTGTCTACCAAAGTGGTTGTACCATTTTGCATTCCCACCAGCAACGAAGGAGAGTTGTGGGCTCTATGTTTTTGACAGAAATCAGTGTTGACAGTATTTTGGATTTTAAGCATTCTAATAGGTGCGTAGTGGTATCTCACTACTCAAGATTATTTTAATTTTTAGTTTCCTAATAATAAGTGATGTTGAACATTTTTCCTATGTTCATGTGCTGTCTGAATGTCTGCTTTAGTAAGGTGCATATTCAGATTTTTTGCCTTTTTAATAATTGGGTTGTTTCTTAGTTTTGTGTTATAACTTCTTTCTGTATTTTGGATACCAGTTTTTTTATCCCATATGTGTTTTACAAATATTTTCTCCTAGTCTGTAGCCTGTTTTTTCATGCCCTTAACAGTGTCTTTTACAAAGCACAAATTTTTAAATTTTAATGAAATCCAATTTATTAGATTTTTTTTCTTGGATTGTTTTGATGTTGTATTTAAAAGTCGTCACCAAACTCAAGATCATCTAGATTTTTCCTCTGCTATCTTCTATAAATATTATAGCTTGGCATTTATATTTAGGCCTAGGATCCATTTTGAGTTAACATCTTTTTGAAATGTATAAGATCTCTGTCTAGATTATTTATTTTGCATATAGATATCCAGTTCAAGCACTGCTCAACTTGTTGAAGTTCAGTGAAGTCTTGAACTTAAATGTCAAGTTGAATACTGTCTTTTCTCCATTGAATTACTTCTGCTCTGTTTTTAAAGATCAGTGTAATATATTGGTATGGGTCTGTATCTGGACTGTCCTGTCCTTGATCTTTCTATTCTTCTGCCAGTGGCATACAGTCTTGATTACTGTAGCTTTTCAGTAAGGCATTTTGTTTGTTTAGAGACAAAATCTCACTCTGATGCCCAGACTGGAGTGCAGTGTCATGATCTCGGCTCACTGCAGCCTCTGCCTCCCATGTTCAAGTGATTCTTCTGCCTCAGTCTCCTGAATATCTGGGACTACAGGCATGAGCCACCATGCCTAGTCATTTTTGTATTTTCAGTAGAGACAGGGTTTCATTGTGTTGGCCAGGCTGGTCTCAAACTCCTGACCTCAGGTGATGTGCCTGCCTCAGTCTCCCCAAGGTGCTGGGATTACAGGCATGAACCAACTTTATAGTAAGTTTTTAAATTGGATAGTGTCAGTCTTTTGATTTTTTTCCTTTTTTTCTTCCGTGTGATATTCAATGTATGTGTTTCCTGCCTTTCTATATGAACTTTAAAATCAGTTTGTCAGTATTCACAAAATTAATTACTGAGATTTTCATTGAGACTATGTTGAAATTTTTATAGGTCAAGTTGGGAAGCACGTATATTTTAACAGTATTGACTCTTCCTGTCAATATGGAATGTCTCTCTATTTAAATCTTATTTATATGTTACTTACATTGATTTATATTGATATATTTATGTAATTTATACGTAAATACATAAGTAAAAAGTTTATTTACATTCTATTTATTTATATTGTCTTTCATTGGTATTTTATAGTTTTCCTCATATAAATCTTATATATATTTTGTTAGATTTATACTTAGGGGTTTTTTTTTTCAGTGCTAATATATATACTGTTGTGTTTTAATTTCAAATTCCATTTACTCATTACTGGTACATACAAATTAATTGACTTTTGTATATTAAAAAAATCCTGTATCCTGCACCCTTGTATCCTGCAGCCTTGCTATAGTCACTTATTTGTTCCAGTGGTTTTTGTGTGTTACTTAGAAGTGTGTTGTTTAATCTCTACATATTCTGAGATTTTTTAGCTAGCTTTCTGTTGTTGATTTCTAATTTAATTCCATTGTGATCTGAAAACATACTTTATGATATCTATTACTTCAAATATAAGGTTTGTTTTATGGTCCAGAATGTGGTCTAACTTCGTTAATAAGCCATGAAAACCTTAGAATAACATGTATAGTTGAAAACAGGATTTACTGGACCCAAATCAAGGTGTCTACAGTACTGCATTTCCTCCAGAGGCTCTGGGGAGTATATGTTCCCTTACCTCTCCCAGTTTCTAGAGGTCACCAGCTTCCTCAGGAGCTGGAATTACAGATGTGTGCCATCACACGCAGCCAATTTTTTGTATTTTTACCAGGGACAGGGTTTCATCATGTTGGCCAGGCTGGTCTTGAACTCCTGACTTCAGGTGATCCACCCACCTCCACGTCCCAAATTTCTGAGATTATAGGTGTGAACCACCGCACCTGGCCACTAAACAGAATTTGTTATCTGATCATGATTCAAACAAAAAAATCTAAAGTTAGGGGCTCAGAAACTATTTTCTTCCAAATACATGAACAAAGTCATTGATATGTCTTCTTTAGCCATTCTTCTTATTCTCATCTTTAGTCTGATGTCCTTTGAGTAGACTGCCTCACACTGACAAATGCCATGCCAAAGTTCTACATTCAGTAATATGGTATGTTAATGTTTCTTTTCTTATTCAACTTTTCAGCAAATCTCAAAGATAGGTTTAAATGGCCTCTGGCAATAGTGACAGTGCAAGGGCAAGAGAGGTTTGACTGTAATACTGTGTCTCTGTTGTAGATGTCATCATCATCATAATTCTGCCAACTCAGTCAGCTAAGTATTTGGTTAATTATTTTCATTCTCTGCTAACCAGAATGTGCTTTACCTTTTTAGGTTTATCGACAAGACTGTGAAACTTTCGGGATGGTGGTGAAAATGCTGATTGAAAAAGATCCTTCATTAGAAAAGTCTATACAGTTTGCATTGAGGCAGAATTTACATGAAATAGGTGAGCGGTGTGTTGAAGAACTCAAGCATTTCATTGCAGAATACGATACTTCCACTCAAGATTTTGGAGAGCCTTTCTAGATTTTTTTGCTCAGGCAAAAAATAAAGGTTTCTAAATATTTTTTTTCCTGGATTGTGTAAATCCTTAATAAATGGATTTTTTGTGATGCAGAGAATTACATTATGATAGTTGACCACACTTTAATATTAAGTAAAAATCTAAAATACTCTGCTTAAAATATTTAATTAGAATTTTTGTATTTTTTGTAGAGACAGGGTTTCACTGTATTGACCAGGCTGGTCTCTAACTCCTGGCCTCAAGTGATCTGCCTGCCTTGGCCTCCCAAAGTGTTGAGATTACAGGCATGAGCCACTGTGCCCTGCCAACATATGATACCATGTGAAAATATTAGAATTCTGAGTTGTGATTTTATTTACTTGCTTGCTTTTTCCTAGGCTTTGTAACTTGTCATATGTTAAAGTGTACTATCCTAATAAACTGAATACTTTGGTATCTTAGAGAATATTTGCTTTGAGAATAATTCTCATTCAATGATAAAACAGAGCACTTAATTCTCTGATAGACATCTCAGAAAAAATCCATTTTTCCAAGTAATGAACTCAGTGTCTTTTATTACAATAATCCGGAAATTCCTGGTGTTCTCACTGGTGTATGTCTTAAATAATATCATGTACAAGACTAATAAATAGAGGCAATTTGAGGTGGAAGATGAGGGATATTTTAAGTTTGGGACTTCTCTCAAAAAAAAAGTTGATCAAAAGAGAAAAATTTTGGAATATGCCTGTAATAGTGGAATTTTATTTACAAGAAAAATTTTTTTTTATTGGCTCATACTTTGCATATCAGGAAACAAGGTGATTGTAACATGTCCATGATTAAACTATTAGCAGATTATTTCTGTGTTAATCTCTGTATTCTAATGAGTTCTTTGTTCTGTTCTGCTGTTTTTTAGAGGTTCTTGTTTTTTCTTTTTTTTTTTGAAGGAAAATTTGCATTATTTTATAGAAAACAGTGTACACTTAACCCAGTTTCGTGGCAAGTTGTTTAGCCTTTGCCTTTTCGAGCTTGGCGATGCGAACCACAGACTTGGGACCCAGGACATTGCTTCCCCAGTGCCTGCAGATCTCATCATATCTGTCATTGTAGTTGGTGCGGATAACTTCCACCAGCTTAGCTAAAGCGCCTTTGTCTTCCGAGTTCACGTGTGTGAAGGCAACAGTGGTGCAGGTCTTCCTGTGGACTAGACGTCCCAGTCTTGCCTTCCCCTTGATAATGCAGTAAAGGACTCCCATTTTACGACACAGGGCAGGCAAGAAGACAACGAGCTCAATAGGGTCCACATCGTGTGCTATGACCACCAACTGAGCTTTCATGTTCTCCACCAAGGTGGTGATGGTGTTAACTCCTGCTCGAAGGACAGGTAGTCTCTTAGTGGGGACGTTCCCTTTGCCAGCCGCTTTCTTCTCGGCCCGGGCCAACAACCTCTGCTTCTTTTCTTTCTTCGTCTCTGGTCTATACTTGTGGGCCAGCTTAAGCAGCTGAGTAGCTGTTTGGCAGTCCAGGGCCTGGGTGAACTGGTTAATTGCAGGGGGCACTTTCAGCCGCTTATAGAGGGTGGCTTTCTGCTGCTGCAACCTGATATAGTGGGGCCATTTCACAAAGCGGGTGAGGTCTCTTTTGGGCTGGATGTCTTGTCCAGTGCCAAAATTTTTAGGCCTTTTCTCAAATAGTGGATTCGCCACTTTCTTGGCCTCCTGCCTCTTCACGATAGCAGGGGCTGGAGCCACCTTCTTCCCCTTGGCTTGCTTTCCTTTCGGCATCTTGGGCGTCCGGAAGAGCTAGAGGTTCTTGTTTTTTCGAAAGTGTTCTTGAAAGAAACAAAGCGAGTAGGCAGTTAGCATAGCACAGCTACCCCTTACCAAGCTGTCTATGGAAACAACGCCTCATCCAAATCACGGGTTAGTTAAGACTCTAACTGGGACAATTAGGATATTCCACTCATTTCCTGCCCACTTCAGCAGCCCAGTGGCATTGAGCCAAAATACACAAAATTCTGTGTTATTAGTGAGGAAACTTTAAAAATCATGTTTGTTATTACTCACTACCTAATTTCAATATCCTCCCATCCTCTTTCCATTTCTATTCTCTCTCACTTGAATTCTCGCATTATTTTTAGTGGCCTTGACTGATAATACCTACCCTAGCATACATAAAAATTATGTTAAAAGTGGAAGTAGCAGTATGCATAATTTTAACAAATCCTATAACAGGTGCCTCAAAATACGTATTGTGTTATTCCACAAATTTAAAAACAGGACAATAATTATTTTTTTAGTTTTCTAAATGAGACCACCTTGGATTTTTATTTTTGCCATTTAGATGTTATACTTATTTAACTTTTATAAAACGTAAGCCAAGCTAAGTCCCACTTAATAACTCTGGTATTCTTCCTTCATATGAGCATATGATTTTGTTAACTGTAGGAGATTGGTCAGGGTGGTGGGAGAAATTATAGGGAGAGAATGCAAATCTTCTTGAAAGATTGGAAGGTTTTGCAAAAGCTTCAGGAGAGAATAAAAGCTGAAGGCAGCTAATTCTCTTACCCTGAGGCTAAGGGAAAGGGGTAGGTAACAAGGGGAGTATAAAGGAATTAATCTAGATAAGTTTGTTTGCTTATGTCTCCGGAAACCAACCTTTGATCATCCACGTGCAAGACTGCTCCCTGGAAGGAGGGACAACAATGTTAATTACCCAAAAATTGTATTGGCTCCAGACCTTTGCCATTAAATCTGTACTGAGTAAATACCAGCGGCTCTGGCTTATGGGACTGCTCTCTCTGGCGACACTAAGCTGACAGTCCCCTAGCGCTCTTTCACAGCCTGCCTGTGTCTGAGTATTTCTTTCATTCGTCGCTCGGCCAGAGTCTGCAGGACAGACTCAGCAGCTGGCGCCCCATGTGACGAACACTGCAACGGATCATGACGGAACCCTCAAAAATGAAGGTGAAGAGACTGCACAGTCAGTAAGTCATTGGTCCTGCTCGAGATTTCCAAGTTTGGGGGAATTTTCAAGCTAGGATTTATGATGAGACAACAGTTATCCGCACAACAGAAACAGTATATAAAAGTATTGAAACAACTGCTTAAAGCTAGTGGAACCTGTTTCGGAGGCTCAATTAAGGGAGCTAATGCAAACTGTTGTTTCCTATAACCCATAGTTCCCAGAAGAAGGCATGCTGGACCTAGAGCTCTGGGAACAAGTGGGGAGAAATCTTAAATGATAACATGTACAAGGGCAATGGGTCCCAGTAACATCTTCAATGTTAATGGGCCTTAGGGCTGCTTTGGCCCTGCTCTACACAAAAGAGCCTGAAAAGGAAAGGGAGGAGGAACCATCACCTACGTTATGGCCTCCTCCTCCTCCTCCTCCCTGAGCCCCCTCCCTCAATAAATTGGGGAAAAGGCGAGGGTACACTACAGCTATGGGACCCTGTCTTAGGCAAGTGGCATTAGAAGGTGAACTCTTGGCCTGCCTGGTAATGCATGTTCAACAAGGCAATCAGGTATACAGACCCATTTCTTTCAACCCTTAGAAAGAGATAAGTAAAAGCGTTAAAGAAAATGGAGCTGCTAGCCCATTTATGAGAAGATTAATTGAGGCCATAGCAAACAGTTTCCATATAGCACCATAGGAATGGTCAGTGCTAGCCAAACAACTTTAGAGGCCAGTCAATACCTCCTCTGGAAGGCAAAATTTAATAAATTATGTGAACAGCAAAACCCTTTCTAATAATAGCCACTGTTACTATTCCTCTGCTACATGGCTCTCTCAAAATTCAGTTTAGGTAAAACAGCAGCCTTTAAAGGGAGAGAAATTACAACAAGCCCATGAATTAGTTGAGGAACAATTAAAAGCTGGCCGTGTAGAACCATCAGACAACCCTTGGAATTCTCCCATTTTCATCATTCCCAAAAGGTCTGGCAAATGGAGACTTTTGCATGACTTAAGGGCTATCAGTGCTAATTCGCAACCTACGGGGCCCCTTCAACAGGGGCTCCCTTCCCCCCACAGTGATTGCTTGAGATTTGTTTATAGTTGTTTTTGACTTTGAAGAGTGCTTTTATACTATTTCTCTTGCAGAACAGGACAGAGAAAAATTTGTGTTTATGATACCAGCTATCAATAATGAAAGGCCAGCTTGCCAGTTTCATTGGAAAGTACTTCCTCAAGGAATGCTAAACAGTCCTACCATGTGTCAGTATCATGTAAATCAGGCTTTGCTCCCCCAGAAGAAAAGAATTTCCGAATTGCAAGATTATTCATTTTATGAATGACATTTTGCTAGCAGCCCCAGCAGAGCCAGTACATTTAAGTTTATATGTCTGCCATAAAAAATACAGTTAAAAGATTTAATCATAGCACCTGAAAAAATACAGATGTCTTCCCCTTGGAAATATCTTGGCTACATATTAACCTCCCAGTCAATAAGACCGCAAAAGGTTAAATACCAGCAAGTTACACACCTTAATGATTATCAAAAATTACTGGGCAATATTAATTGGCTTTGCCCACCTTGGTCATAACTACTGACAAATTATAGAACCTGTTTTCTATCCTAAAGGGCAGTACAGTTCTGGACTGTCCCAGGTATTTAACCCCCACAGCAAAGAGGGAAATTGAGGAAATAGAGTAAGCTATTTCTCAGAAGTAACTAGAATGTATAGACCCACAATATTAAACATTCCCCAACAGGATTAATAGGACAGATGGCTCCAGGGCTGCGCTTCCTAGAATTGGTTTTTTGCTCACATACCAGGACTAAAACACTGTCTCCCTATATCTAGCTAGTGAGTAAAGTCATCTATATGGGCTGCAGACAGTGCAATTAGTTGCTAGGTAATGACCCTGATGTCATAAGAATTCTTCTGAGTGAAAAACAATTTGAAGCAGTAGGGTCCTTATCTCTAGACCTAGAGATAGCACCTCTGATTATGCAGGCCGTATAGGACATGCCCTTCCTGCTGACATACTACTCCAGTTATTATCTTGTACTGCTGTAGTTGTGCCTACAAAGGTAGTTCACTCCCCCATTCCTAATACTATAACACCTTTTACTGATGACTCTGGTAAAAATGGAAAGGGGCTATTTGGTGGGAACCACATTATTCTCTCACTCATTCTGGATTTCCTAGCACTCAGAGAGCTGAGGTTGGAGCCCTAATATTGGCCCTGGAAACCTTTTCAGCTCAGCCCATCAATATTGTTAGTTACTCTGCTTACTCTTTTTATTTATTGCAGAACCTTAAAAGAGCCCTCATTAAATTCACTCTTGAGCTTACCCTCTGTGCACTTTTTCTTCAGCTCCAGCAATTGCTGGATCAACGTATACATCCATTTTTATCATACATATTTGAGCCCACAGCTCAGTGGCCCACTGGCTTATAGCAGTAATCAAGCAAAGCTGCAAATTTTGACATCCTTGCTTAACCAAACCACCCAGTCACATCAATTTTTCCACCAAAATTGAAGAAACTGAACAATTTCAGCTTACCCAGAGACTAGCTAAACAAATTATCCTGCAGTGCTCAGATTGCCAACTCACAGGCATGTACCCCCCTCTACAGGTGTTAACCCTAGAGGACTAGAACCTAATGAGTTATGGCAAACTGATGTTACACATGTCTCTGAATTTGGAAAACTAAAATATGTACATGTATGCGTTTCTATCACCTATAGAAAAGCACTTTGCTAAAACCTCTCAATACATAAAACCCACAGTTTTATGGAAAGATGTAAATAGTAATGTATAGTGTGGTACAAATGATTTGCTAACATGTGGAAGAGGATATGCTGTGTTCACACCCCCTCAGGCCCTCTTTGGATTCCAGCACGATACATCAAGCATTACCATGGTGCAGCCAGAACCCAACTCAGTGAAGGAAGCGACCTCAAAGAACCTACAGTCCCAGAGATTGCGGCTTCGCCGGACGGCACAAACCCCAACTATCACCTGGGGGGTGCTGAAGAAGACAACTCAGGAGGCTGAACAAATCCTACTCCGGACACAGACACCATGCACTCCAGATAATTTATTCCTTGCTATGCTTTCTGTTATACATTGCAACTCTTGTAAGGTATTAACCTTTCTTATTCTCTCACTTTGCCTTCAACCCATACCTGCTACACAATAGAGTGTAGCTCTATTGGGCTCATCTCCTAGATCGACCTTTCTTCCACCCTGTTACCTGGGCAGACACTCACTCCCTTCCCAGCCTCTAATAATGTAACTTCTTGGCTAGGAGGGATTGACTTACCCCCGGTCGGTTCCCTCATTAATGACACACATTGGACTAAGGTGCCAGGTAACACTTACCACTCCACTATCCTTCCATTGTGTGTAAGTTATGAAAGTTCTAACTCTTGACTGTGTACCTGCCCAGACACAATTATTGCTACATCATGGCAAAGGAAATGCCTTAACGTTCTTGGTTGTAGGTAGCCTCAAACTGGGCAATGCAACTAATGCCACCTTCCCCAACATTCCTCCCTGTCCCTAAAGAACAAACCCAGGAAAGTCATGGATTCCACTTTGGCTGAGGGGTCTGTCATGGGGGTCAAGCCTGTAGTCTCCAGTTAGGCAATTACGACATCATAGACTGGAGCCCGTTTGCAGGGCAACCATACTGATGTTCGCGTCCATTGTGGCATCGATCACAGTTTCATAGCCATGTCCTGCTCCACTATGATTTGCGTGGATGAAGGGATGGGATATCCCAGACCCCAAGTAGAGTCCATGCCACCCCAAGACACTTCATGGCACCTGGGACATCTTAGCACCACCCTTATCACCTGGCATGGGATATATCATAATTCCAGTGACAATTATACTATGCCTTTTATTCATAATTACACGGATCAGTGCCTGATTTGCACTGCCCATCCATGTGTTTTCCTTATGGGAACCAATATTTCCATTACACCTCAAAACTCTACGTTTGTGACCTGAGTGCAGGGACAAGGCAACGTGGTTTGCCTCATGTATCACTAATTACCGTTTATCTAGTTTAAGTATTCTAGTGTCATGATACTATGGAGACAATCTGAGACATTCCTCCCAGTCACTTTGAGGTGAGATTGGCAAGGTTTCTCTGCTCTTGCCTCCCTAGAACATGCCCTGTCCCAGGTCAGACAGACAAGATTCGTAGGTACACTAGCCTTTATAGGCTCAGCCATAGTCATCGTAGCTACTACTAGTGTCACTGTTGGATCTATTACTGAATCAGTACAAACAGCTACCGTTGTAGATGACTTGGCCAGAAACGTGTCTAATGAACTTCTTTTACAGCAGGGTATAGATCAAAAAATTATTGCATATCCGCAAGCCCTTGATGCAGCCTTGGAATATGTAGGGGAATGACACGATGCACTGGCACTCTGCCAGCAATTAAACTGTGACTGGGAGCATAAGCATGTCTGTGTCACCTTTCTACCCTGGAATCAGTCAATACATAGTTAGGATGAGCTGAAACACCACCTCTGGGGGATCTTACGTGATAATGTAACCACAGATGTAAAGCAACTTAAAACTAAAATTCTAGAATCCCTAAATGCTATAAATCTGCACGCTCAACATACAGCCATATGGAAGGATGCAGAAGAACATCTCTCCTGGATAGACCCTCCCCCCACTCCTGGGGGGTCACTCCTTAATTAGAAAAAAATATTACTGATTATACTCATGTTTGTCTCATATTATTTGCTAATCCTAGGATGCAAAGCCGAAAAATGAGTCGTGACTACTATGCCTGACAAACCTGTTGCTGCACACATCTGTACTCTCCAATCAACGACGCCTAATGAAAAAAACAAAACAAAACAAAACAAAACAGAAAAGTGGGAGATGTAGGAGATGGGTCAGGGCAGTGGGAGAATTACAGGGAGAGAATGCAAACCCTGAAAGGTCGGAAGGTTTTGCAAAAGCTTCAGGAGAGAGTAAAAGCTGAAGATAGCTAATTCTCTTACCCTGATGCTAAGGGCAAGGGGTAGGTAACAAGGGAGTGTACAGGAATTTATCTAGGTAAGTTTGTTTGCTTGTCTCCAGAAACCAACCTTTGATAATCTGTGCCTCTGCAAGACTGCTCCCTGGAAGGAGGGATCAACAATGTTAATTACCCACAAACTGTGTTTGCCCCAGGCCTTTGTCATTAAATCTGTACTGAATAAATGCAAGCAGCTCTGGCTTATCAGGACTGTCTCTCTTTGGCAACACAAAGCTGGCAGTCCCGTAGCTCTCTTTCACAGTCTGTGTATTTCATTCGTCACTTGGCCAGAGTCTGCAGGGCAGACTCAGCAGTTACCCACCTTAGCTAGACTAAGAAAGTTCTAGTCTTGTTTTTCCTTTGCCCTGCTTCCCTGGGGTTGTTCCTTAAGTATTCTAGTCCTAGGGTTCAGATCCTTTAGTCAAGATGTCACAAGTTTAAAACAAAACTTGAGGAACTACCAAAGGTATAGGAATTGTTGCCTTTGTTGAAATTCATTAAGTCAGAGAAGTCTTACTAACAGATGTATTTTTAGGTTCAACAGATAATTTCTTTTTCTCCCCTTTCCCCAAATTACATTCAGCATTTAAAGCTGTTTATGGTTTGCCATCAGCATTATTCTGTTAGGATTGTTAGTGTTAAAATCTGTTTTTTTTTTTTTTTTTTTTTTAAGACTATTAAAGTCTAGATGAATTCAGATGTTGACCAGAGTGTGTATTTTACATAATGTTCTTGATTAAAAAGATTTGTTTGTAAATTACCTGTTGTTTTTGCATATGCTGAGTTGATGTGATAAAATTTTCATTGTCTTACCATAAAGCCTTGGTGATCAGCAGGTAGAATGCAGATACCGTAAAGCTTTTCATGAATTTTAAAAGTGCAAAATCAGCCACATTTAAGTAATTAGATTGCCTTTTTACAGGCTTCAAGTATTTTGCTAAAATGTGGGCTTTATTACTCTCTACTGCAAGATTACTTCTTAGCAGCAGGATGGAGGAAGTTTGAGAATTGAGAAACTGTAGTAGCGCCCCAATTATCTGTGGTTTTACATTCCGTGGTACAAGTAATCCATGGCTACCATGGTCCAAAAATATTAGATGGAAAATTTCAGAAACAACGCATACGTTTTCAATTGTGTGCCATTCTGAATGAAATCTTGCAGCACCACGCTTTGTCCCAGCAGTCACGTCAGTCATCCCTTTCTCTAATACATCCACACTGCACACACTACCCGCCTGTTAGTCATCTACACCATCTACTCTTGAAATCCAAGCATTGACCATGTCATGGCTCCATGATCCAGGATCACCCAAAGCAGATGATCCTCCTTCTGATGTATCGTCAGAAGGTCAGTAGCGGTGCTCATTCCTGTAATGCCAGCACTTTGCAAGGCCAATGTGGGTGGATCACTTGAGGTCAGGAGTTTGAGACCAGCCTGGCCAACATGGTGAAACCCCGTCTTTAATAAAAATAACAAAAATTAGCCGGGCATGGTGGCAGGTGCCTGTAATCCCAGCTACTCAGGAGGCTGAGGCATGAGAATCACTTGAACCTGGGAGGTGGAGGTTGCAGTGAGTCAAGACTTCATTCCAGCTTGGGTGACAGAGCCAGACCCTGTCTGAAAAAAAAAAAAGAACGTCAGTAATAGCCTCATGGTGTGTCACAATGCCTGCATTACCTACCTCACTTCATTTCACCATGCAGACATTTTACCATCTCACATCCCATCATCAGAGGAAGGGTACAGTACAGTAAGAAATAGACCACAATCATGTAACTTTCATTACATTATATTCTTATAATTGTTCTGTTTTATTCTTAATCTCTTAATGTGCCTAATTTATAAATTAACCTTTATCGTAGGTGTATATGCATAGGAAAACCTTGATATATATAGGCACCCCAGTTCTTAGCATAGTTTGGAATGTAGTAGATACTCATATTTGTTAACTTAAAGGTGGCTTCACAAAGGAAATTATATTTGACTCCTGGGTCTTTGAGGAATATGACTTATTCAGGCAGAGAAGGGAAGCATTTATTAGAGGTCCAGGCGGAGGGAAACGTGTCCTGTGTCCTGAAGCTGTGTGCTAAAGATAACAGGATAAAGGTGGGAAAAAGTAAGTTGAGAGCTGAATGGGAAGGATATTGAATGTTTATATCTTTACCCTCTCTCCTACTTAAGAATGGAATTTGGAAACATTACCTATGTAGTATTCTTGCCAAAAATGTGGATTTGTCATAGCCCTTAGCAACTTCACAGATCTAGAACCTCCTGAAGGGGAGGCCAGATCTCCTTAAGGAAGGACTCTGCTCTACTGCCAAAATATACACTGGTTTCAGCTTCACTTCAGAGTTTCCTGTAATGGATCTTGACCTCCAGGGAAGTCTCTGACAGTTCTTTGGCAACAGTTTTGGAGACAGTGACCTGATCATCTCTGAAGTGTTCATTCTAGACAATATTCAGTGCTACTGGCAGCCAAGCACCCAGGTGGCTTTATAGCTGTAACACTGCTCAGGCTGGCTTGTAGAGTTCCTGAGAGTAATGACCACTCTTTGCTTGCCAGGTCAAGGCTTGTGGGTTATGCACAGTGCATTTGTCACCTCCTTCCTGCCAGTTCTCTGGAGAGCACTGATGTTACCCAATTCAGTGGAAAAAAGCTGCGGGGTGGGGATAGGGGTGGACCGGTAGCTGAGGTATAGTTACTACAATCTATTCTCCCATTTTTTCCATGGTAATTGGGGTTGACATTGAATAACATGCCTGCCTAACTGGGACTATATTTGCTGTTTTCCTTGTAGTTTTAGGTGTGTGAAGCAATTAAGTAGAAATTTGAGTGGAAATGCTGCTAATTCCGGGTTAGGAACCTGACAACAGTGATGGTACCTCCTTCATGCTCTTTTATCCCTTCCCAAATGTAGTAGCAATAGCAATGTAGCGTTGATTTATTTATTTTTTTCAGAGTCACAAGATGGAGGGAACCTGGATCCCTGCATGACCACATGGAATATTGAACTGTTAGGTGAGAGCAGATTAAATGTCTTTTTTTTTTTTTTTTTTTTTGAGGCAGAGTTTCGCTCTTGTTACCCAGGCTGGAGTGCAATGGCGCGATCTCGGCTCACCGCAACCTCCGCCTCCTGGGTTCAGGCAATTCTCCTGCCTCAGCCTCCTGAGTAGCTGGGATTACAGGCACGCACCACCATGCCCAGCTAATTTTTTGTATTTTTAGTAGAGACGGGATTTCACCATGTTGACCATCATGGTTTCGATCTCTTGACCTTGTGATCCACTTGCCTCGGCCTCCCAAAGTGCTGGGATTACAGGCTTGAGCCACCGCGCCCGGCCAAATGTCTTTATTTTTTAAGCCACATTTTTGTTTGGTTTTTTGTTTTAGCAGCTTACTTTTTGCTCAAACTTAGTGATCATTTTTGTCAAATAACATCTGAGCATTTGCTTCACCAGTGTAGGCCCTGAGCAGGTCACCCCACTCCTACATTTCCATTGTAATGGAAATCTTGGGATGAGGGGGACTAATTCTATAAAAGGCTTTGAATTAAGAGTTGTAAGCTGTATTTTGAATCTTGGTAAGTATTGTTATAGCCCTGTGAACACGTATAGCAGCAGACACAGCCTAATTCTATAGCATGTTGTTTTTTCAGCTCTGCTCCCATAGATTGATGGTCTTTTTGTTTATTTGTGAATTTTCTTGAGGCAGGGTCTCACTCTGTCGTCCAGACTGGAGTGCACTGGCGTGATCTCGGCTCACCGGAATCTCCACCAGGCTCAAGCGGTCCTCCCACCTCAGCGTCCGTAGCAGGGACCACAGGCGCATGCCACCACACCTGGGTAATTTTAGTATTTTTTTGTAGAGAGGAGTTTTGCCATGTTGACAAAGCTGCTCTCGAACTCCTGATCTCAAGCGATCCACCTGTCTCAGTCTCCCAAAGTGCTGAGATTACAGGCTTAAGCTACCACACCCAGCCAAGTGTTTGTTGGTGTGTTTTTTAATAGGAAAATCTTTAAAACCTTAGACAATTTTAGTGATAATGCTGTAGCATTAGAATACCATGGGCCAGGCAGCTGGGTGGCTGGGCGTGGTGGCTGAGGTGGGAAGATCGCTTCACCCCAGGGGACAGAGGTTGCAGTGAACTCAGATGGCGCCACTGCACTCCAGCATGGGCAACAGAGAGACCCTGTCTCAAAAAACAAAAAACATGCTTATATTCTGCTACTTTTGTAGAATAGACTCTAGTATACTATATTGGATGTCATTTAAAATGTTTTAATTTTAGGTTTAATATGCTAAATATTTTATAGAATTCTGAGAAGCACCAAACTTTTCAATCATCTCACTATCTGAATCTTTCTATGTTACCCAGGCTGGTTTCAAACTCCTGGGCTCAAGCGATTGTCCCCCCCCCAGAGAGGGGCTTCCAAAGCACTGGGATTACAGGCGTGAGCCACGGCGCCCAGCCTAGAGCTAGTTTAGAAAACATCATTCCGCAATATTGATGAGGAGGAGCTGCTGAGGGCAAGTAGAACAGGGACTTCCAGCTCCCAAAGCCACAGCGCAGCCAGGGACTCAGTCTCTTTTGCTGCTGCACCAGAGTTTGAGAAGAGCCTCCCAAAGTGCTGGGATTACAGGCATAAGCAAGCATGCCTTGTTTAAGGTTCGTATTCCTAATGGTACTATTACCATTGTCAGGAATCTGATAATTTGAGAGCAGGTTGCAAGTTGTTTTGAAAGTTGGCATAACAGTACCTTGTGCATATAGCTATAGAGATGTGAAATTTCTTTTGTAAAAAGAAAAGTTGAGGCTGAAGTTGATCCCTAAAATGGGAATGCTTGACCAGCTACTCAGGTCTGTTCAAACAGAATGAATTGGCTCTGATCCTGGGGCCAAGTCTAATTATACACCCAATGTCTTACTTTTCCTCCATATTCTCTACCCAAAGCATTTTGAAACTGACCCTTAGCCAGGCATGGTGGCATACCTCTGTAGTCATGGCTACTTGGGAGGCTGAGGTGAGAGGATTGCTTGAGCTCAGGAATTTGAGGCTGCAGTGATGCCACCACTGCACTCCAGCCTAGTTGGCAAGGTGAGACCTCATCTTAAAAAAAGAAAAAGTTACCATTTAAAACTTATTCCTCCAGTAAAGTTTATGATTCTATAACCTTGGCCAAATGTGAGCTCAGAGATGCAAATTTCAGTTATTTCTTCACATTTCTCCTTGGCCCAGTTTACCTGGAAGCCTTTCTAATGGTTTGAGAGTTTACAGAAAACCCATGTGACTAAACAGGAGCATGCCTTCTGTTTTTAGATTGTTTCAGTGAATGTGGAGAATCTAACTAGGCAATTAGCAGTTTTCTCATTTGACTAATTAAAATGGATTTTATCATAATTGCATTACTAGGATTGAATTGATAATGAGGCTTTTAGTGGAATTTTCTGGATCCCAATAGATTTTTCTTCTTTGTGCGTCCAAAAAGGTCACATGTATTTTATCTATCTATGTATCTATGTATCCATCTATATCTATTTGTGCCAGATTCTCATTCTGTTTCCCAGGCTGGAGTGCAATGGCACAATCTTGGCTCACTGCAACCTCTGCCTCCCAGGTTCAAGCAAGTCTCCTGCCTTAGCCTCCTGAGTAGCTTGGACTATAGGCACAAGCCACCATGGCTGGCTCATTTTTGTATTTTTAGTAGAGACAGACAAAGGTTCATCCTGTTGGCCAGGCTGGTCTCGAACTCCTGACCTCACATGATCCACCCACCTCAGCCATTCAAAGTGCTGGTATTACAGGCCTGAACTACTGCACCCAGCTAAAGGTCACATGTATTTTCTATAAACAGGAATTAGTTGTGCCTTCACTCGACAGCTCTAAGAGACAAGGGAA